ACACCCCCCCACCCTCACTGGTGTGTACCCACCAAGTTAGTATTTCACTCAATATAAATTTATTCAACAATTCACAAAGAAACAAATAAAAAACAATCACCCGACTGTACAGGAAAAAAAAGAACAAATGAAATAAATGAAATTACACATGTAAACTCCAAGTAAAGATATAAATTGACATCGAATCACACGCAGACAAAAATGGACATGAAACGTCGTGCATACGACGTGCAACACTCGCAACTGAAATCTTACATGGAAAATGTAATGGATATGAAAAGTCGTGAAATACCAGTCACTAAAATCACACATGAAGAGTGTAACATGATACAATGTATCCTACAACTGCGCCACTACTGCCACACCGCCAGATACTACAAAATAGAAAAACACTACTCTACAAGTCGTGTCGACAGTGGCGAGATACTCTACTACGACCAACACTACTGTACAAACGCCCTACTCATACCAAAATCAGACACAAACAATATGAAGAAAACAACGACTATAACACTCACACTAGTAACCAGACTACCAGTGACTACCTGACAATACTAACATAAGACAACACGACAAAAAACCAGCAGAGTAGAATATGACGAAGTCGCGTGCAAGTAGGGAAAAGTGGCGTGCTGGCATCACGACCACCGACCCCTCTTCCCCTTCCCGCTCTGCGTCCTCCGACTCCTCGTACCCCCTCGAGTGTCGGATGTCGGCCTCCTCTTCCCTCGTGAGGATGAAGACGTCTGCGCAGCAGGGCGTCTGGATGCATGCGTCGGTGGGGGAGGTGGGGGCTCATCGTTCTCGTCGTCACCGCTATGGTCGCTCTCGTTGTCCGCCTTCTCACTCTCCTCCTCACCCTCATAATCCTTGTCCTCCTCCTGAACTGCTGGTGTGGTCTCAGGATCATCCTCCTCGATGGTGACAGGGCTGCCTCCCTTCCTCACTGGAACAACCCTCGTACTAGCCTGTGCGACTGTGTCCTGACGGTGTGATCCACGAGGCATCCCCAACCCCTCCGCCCCCGAAGACTCTCCAAGTGCAACACCTCCCTCTGCAGGCACGGGCCGTGGAAGAGGCACTCCACGCTTGCGTGGAGTCTGCTCATGCACAACACGCGTCTCTGCTCTCAAAATGTGGTCCAAGGAGGAGGTGGACACTCCCCCGCCGCGACCTCGTTGAGGCCCACAACCTGCTGTTGCAACCTCCCTCGCTCCGGTCGTCCTGGTGCCACCGCTGCCGCGGGTTCCCAAGCATGACTGAAGGCGTATAGTGAGCTCAGTGGCACAACGGGTGGAATCCAAATCTATGTCCGTCCTCCTGAATAACATCGTATCGCACACATCCCGCTCAACCGTTGTCGTGTCACGAATCCCCAATCTTTCGGGCGTGTGTGGGGATCGAGAGCCTCTGCCTGTGGGCGACGATGAAGGATCACCCACACGAGGTCTAGGAGGAGGGGGTGGCATGTCTCTTGCACGTGTCGTTCCCTCCTGTGGGCCCCACGAAACCCCTGTAACATAGGCCTGCTATGTCCTCCACTGGAGGTAGACCCAGACCACACTGGCGACGCAGGACACCATGGAACCGAAGGGATCGTCTGCCATCGGGGATGTTTGAGGTTCGGGTTAAATATCCGCCAGTCCAGTTGAGTCACATTGCGCATAGCGGCCGCTGCCAACTCCTCTACATCCAATGGACGATCGACCTCCTGCGGAGCCGGTCGCCGTGGACGTGGAGGCTCAACCAGCGGCTCGGACCCCAAATCCGTGATAATAACAAGTGGCACATCATGCATTGCCACCTCAGTCGGCTGTGACCGTCAGGCCTCGGCCAAGTGCAGACCCAAGAACGGGACAACTGGACCAGTCACTATCTCGTGAATCGCGGGTCGTGCGTCGCCAACCCCCCCATCTCGCCCCTGTCCACCCTCCACAGCCTCATCCACCGTTTGTGGCCCGCCCTCCACAGCCTCATCCGCCGCCTCTACTGCCACTCCCTCCATAACGTCCACCCCCGCCACCACCCCACCCTGCTGTCTCTTGACGCCTGCGCTCCTCCAAGGCCCGTGCGAACGCCTGAGCACGTGGGTCGCTGGATGCCATAAGTTGAGCCCTCTCTCGCTCCATGATGTCGCATGCTGCATCTGGAGACTCCGCCACCGTCCTCTCTCTCAAGGTCTGCAGCCCCGTCTCACCTGCCACCTCGTCCAATGAACGCGCCCGGTTCGTCGATGCCGTCCCGACTCAACTTCCACGCAAGTAGGGGGAGCACCCATCGACTTTTCAAAGTCGAAGTGGGTCCCCATTTCCGAACCCGCCCCCCCTTTGGTAGGAGACATCCCCAACCCCCTCGCCACACCTGGGGTGAAACCGCCCACGACTGGATCGAGCTCCTTCGTAATAAACTGTTGCATGAGGTGCTCCTCGGTGTCGTCACCTCCGCCAGTGACGTCCGCACCATCATGCTCCATAACAACGCTCGATCGCCCAACTGGCGCTATCGCCTCCTCCCCCTACATTGCAGTTGCTATCTCCCCCTTCATTGCAGTTGCTATCTCCCCCTCCACTGCTGCTCCAGCTGGCTCCTCCTCCTCCCCCGTCGGCACTGCTGGTACCTCCTCTGCTGTTGCTACCTCCCCCTCCACTGTTGTGGTTGTCGTGACCTCCTCCTCCGCTCGGGGTAGCACCCCCCTGTCCGCCGGAGTGGCATGATGGCCAACCTCCTCCTACAAGACCCCCGGGGAAGGTGATCATAACCTCAGTCGGCGGACCCCTACTGATCTCTGCAGAAGTCCGTGTTGAGGCAAGGAGATGCCAACTCATCCATCTCCGCCGCTACCGTGGCCGACTGAAGTGTTGGACGGGCGATGGTGATGCAGGACTCGGAACAGAAGGTGGTGGCATGGATGAGTTTCGCCTCTATCATCGCGCACATCATCTATGGAAGCCACCTCCCCGAAAGAGCCCCAATGATCATCGTCTCCCCCCATCATCTCCCTCTCAAGCCGGTCCGCCGTCCAGCGTGCGGTGTATGTCCTCGTCTCCATGTCGTCGACATCCTCATATGTCCCATCGATCTCAGGAGGGATGGAGAGCATAGGGTCATCTGCTGCCTTGGGTGCCTGCTCCTCATCCGAGTCATCGTCCCTGGGGTACGGACATAAAATGCAAGCACGTCTATAAAAAACAACACTAGCAGAGGGTGGTGCGGACGTCCCGATGGGATCGTGCGTAATAAGCACCACCTGCTGTGCAATCTCCTCCTGCGTCATCCCCTTGTGCGTGCTTGTGTGCACCAGCTCCACCTCGAGTCATGGCTGGCAGTCGAGCATGCCCTCGTACCGCTGCCATGGCGGTACATAACCGCATCTTGCCCGCCGATGCTCTGTCAACCGCACATTTGCAGTGATCTCGACGAGTTGCACGACCTTATCGAAGGCCAACTGGTTGCGCTTCTTCGTGTGGATGCCCTAGTGGATTGCCCAGTTCCTCTCTGCTGGAGAGATGCAGGACCGCATGTGCATAACACGAAGAGCGCACCGTTGTAACTCAGGCGCGCCAGCCCCGTACTGGGCCCAGCAACGCGCACTCGATCGTCTCGGTGTCACCGCTACATGCACGCCCACGAGGATGCCCGTCCACCCCACCCCAATCGCTAAACCTACCCTGCTGCATGTGGAAGTCCTCAAACTACCGACAGGCAACGATGTAATCCGCACCGTCTAACTCGAAACCCGTCTGCGACAGAATGTACCTCTTGGCTTGCCTCACAAGCCAAGCATGGCAACCGTCCACCTCGCCTGAAAAGTATTGAAAATGTCGCATGCAGGGGTTCAGTAAGAACCCAGCGTGGTGAGCCGGCTCAAGCATGTGCTCTGTGTGGGCCTGCACACGCCTGAAGATCTGGTCTGCGAAGGACTGGCACAAAGGAGCACATGTGTCCTTCACACGGTGGACAAAATCTTGTGTCCACTCGATCACGAGCGACATGAATTGCCCTCCACGATCCACCCGCCTAAGCAACTGCATGACAAGCTCCATGATATGGACCATGGTGGCCACCCTCTGCCACCAAGGATCCCGTTTGATCTAGTGGCGCACCCAACGCGCCATGATGCACACATCGGCCGACCACAAAATGAAAGCAAAAGCCCGTGAGCCGTCTCATTGCATCATGCCCTGCAAAGTGTCATGTACAGTCAGCAGCCTCTCCAGCATGGAGTAAACAGACGCAAACCACGTCTTGCAGGAAAGAATAAGACCCTTGTCTGGGCTGCGTTTCCTAAAAAAATGAAGGACGACCTGGTGGGTTTTGAAAAACACCACCAGCACATGAGCGTGTATGCTCGTGTCCACAAACACATCGCAACTCGTTCCCATGTCTGACAATAATTTGTTGCAGACATGGACGGAGCATGGGAGCTAAGTAATCCTCCTCAGTGCAAGAAGAATGGTCGGCGAGGTCATTGCCCTTGCAGCCCCCACGTACACTGAAGCGGAGTCAATGCATATCGCATTGACCTACTGCGGCCCACCGAACTTGAACTCGTGGAAGATGGTGACTCATCTCCGAAGGACGTGCTCTGCATCGTCCGGCTCCCCCTCTCGATTGATCGTCATGTACATGACGACCCCTCGCGAGCCTGCGATAAGGATATTCACGATTGGTCTCCCGTCTCGTGATTTCCTCCCATTTGAGAGAATGGTGGCACCAGTCACCAGAATGGTTGCCTCACCTCTTCCAATTCCTCCGCCAGCTCCGCACGGTGGGTCTCCACCGACTGCATGCTCACAATCTCACTATGGCTGGGGAACACAATGCGCGGTGAACTGCGAGGCTGCTTAAGAAGCACCTGTTGATATGCCTTCCATTCCTGGTTGCGAAAGGCATTGAAGGAGACCCCGTTGGAATAAAGCAAGCGAAGGAAGGCCTTTTTGTGGCGAGCAACCCACTCGCCACTGTAGACCTCTGTCACCTTCTGCTGGTAAAGCCTCTTTCCAGCTTGGGTGGTAGACAGATCAGCTCCTCCTTCCTTCCTATTTGAAGGACCCTCCTCCCTCAAACACTCCGCCACAGCCACTCCACCATCCTCACCCTAGTGGCTGGATGGAACTCTGGCACGTCCTGGTGTGTCGGGAATCCCTCCTCACCCGGGTCATGTGCCTCACGATCGATGTGGATCACATTCTCCTCCATGTCACCGCCTCCACCCCCCAATGGGCGGTCGGACGCACCCTACCCACCATTTCCCCCGCCCCCTCCATCCACCAGACACTGCCCCGCCTGTCCTCCCCTTGCACCAACCCCCCCGGGGCACATCAAGTCCACACTTCGCTGCGTACCTGCCAACACTCTCCATCTGGTCAAACTCAAACTTCTGTTGAGTTCATCTTGCAATCTCATAGAACGCCTCGTCATTGATGTCCTTGCAGTAGTTAGTCTAGACGAAGTGCCTCGTGGCCTGGTACTGAGTCCCCTAGAATACATTGTTGCAAAACGTGCAACACAACATCATTACCCCCTTGTTGTCGACCTTCTGGTCGACGGCAAGGTACCGATACACAGGGGACCGACCCCTGAACATGTCCTGCATATGGTCGGGAGCCGGCTCATGCTCGCGCCGCTGTGCCCTCCCCATGGTGACCGCCCTTACCCCGCTCCGAACTGACGAGGCCTCGCAACCCCCATCCCCGCCCCTACCCCCGTGTCTATCCCACGTCACAGACTCGCCCGAACACCGCCTCGCACCGTGAAACGCTCAGCGAACCAACGCGTTCAATCACGTTCAACAGTTCAATACCGTTGAAACACGTTCAATACCGTTGAATTATAAATACAACGACGTTTGTCAGCACCGAGCGTGCGAATTTGTCGCCGTCGTCGACCCTGCTCTCCTGCAGGTCCCGCTCTAGTGCCGCTCCAGCTTCGCTCCGCTCCAGCCGCCGCTTTCACTGCTCTCTCTCTCTCTCTCTCTCTCTCTCTCTCTCTCTCTCTCTCTCTCTCTCTCTCTCTCTC